CTGTAAATACCAAAATGTACCTTGTGAAGTCCTTTGAATTCGTACCGGCGATCTCTGAACGCTCTCACGGTGTCGACGTAGAAGGAGTTTTCTCTCTGACAGATGGTGGTGACTCGCTCCTCCCGCTTGGTGACGTGTATCTTCTTATAGGCCCTCCTACAGTAGTCTGAGACAAAGGCAAGACAGGTCGTACCGTGGTTTGGAGTTCAGTATTTTAGAATGCTAATATACCCAAAATCTAAAAAAGAAAGAAAGAAACGAAAGTACCTGCCAGACGTTTCTTCTCATGTTTGGCCTGCTCCTCCCTGTTCAGAGCGTGGAAGGCCCGCGGTGGACCGTTGGGGAAATACGGCGGGAACTTCTCAGACTCAAGTTGCTGCTGGATGCGGTGGAACTCACTGCGGCTGGCCGGCACTGCAGACGGAGGGAACAGTGTGAATTTATTTGACTGTATTCAACCCCACATGAACACTGTAGGAGCGCTGTTGGCAGGTTTTGAGTCTTTTAGCTCCTCAGTTCTTTGTCATAAACATAACAATAACTTACTGATTTCCCCTCTCCATTGCCAGGCCATCCTCCTCTGGCAGGTGGCTCCAGGCTTGTTAAAGTCACAGGCAGCACACGTGGCCTCATCAACCATCGCGGATGGCTGTAAAAGTAGAAAATGAAGTATTGAATTCAATGCTTTTCTATATTTTTCATCCCGTGCATATTGCTTTTGAGTTTTCCTTTACCTGCAGGCGGTTGGTGAGGATGATATTTGGGTACATCGCCCCAACGTCCAGATGGTAGATGAGGGGGCATTCAATCCTGTTTGGGACCTCCTTCAGGGAAGTCAGCTTGTTTTTAATCTCCTCGCAAACCTGAGAAGAAAAATATATATATTTAACAACTTCAACATTTAAAAGCCAGTGCCCAAATTGGAGTCAACATACCTCATTAAAGTTGGTGATTTGCTCCAACGGTATTTTCTCCTCTTCCTCAATGGCATGGCGGATCGTCATCTCAACTCTTTGCAGCAGGAAGTCAAATGCAGCCGGGTTCTGTCAATGCACCAGACCAAACTGTCACGCTCAACACAAGCAGAAAGCAGTGGAGTGAAGAAACCGGCTGTATGTTGAACTGAGACATACCATCTTGAAACGGCAGGGGATGTCACTGCGAAACACTCCGGACTCCAGCGCCTCCACGTGGCCGCCCACGTAGGTCTCGGAGTCCATGACGTGGCCGTCGTCGGTCATTTTGTTGAACACCTGCTCCTGCTTATTGGGGAAGATGATGTTTGCGTGGAAGGCCTGCACCATGAGCAGAGCTTCACACAGAGTCCCAGAGCCTTTACGCAACACCTGGAAGAAAAGACAGGATTATTTAGAAACGCACTATATTATTTTAGATTTTAGCGTTTTATATACGTTTATTTTTTTAACAAAAGACAAACCTCATCGGGCTCCATGGGGATGATGGTGCACAGAGCGAAAATGAAGGGGTGAACATATTTCATGTACAGGTAATATGTGGCCACGGCATCTGACACAGAGTAGGTAGCTAGAGTCTAACAGAAAAGTAGAGAAAAGACAAAGTCAACAAAATAAATAAAGTGAATTCTTTATTTCCCCGAGCTGTAAGAAGTCCATTAGTGTACCTGTGGCTCTTCAGTTGCCATGCGGCACATCTCCTCAGGGTCCAGCTCCACTGGGTCGTAGCCCAATTTGGCTTTCGCTGCTGCCTTCAAATTATGACTTCCCACCGGCAGATAGCTGTCTCTCTTTACCCACCTGACACAAGAGGAGAAGCAGGTTGGAAGGATGATGTGAGAAAAACAAAATGATCTGAAATTAATCCCTATGCATATGTTTAAGTAAACCACACCGAGATCATTTTAACAGTGTCAGAGGGCTGCAAACCTTAAGCAGTCCATGTGGATGGCCTGAGTGGACTTGTACTCTCCCTGGTTATCCTTCTGGAAACCGATCTCCCGGTGCATGTTCAGTCCATGGAGGGCAGCCCGGGTCTCGATGAAAGGCCTTGAAAGAGTGGAAACAGAGTGAGCGAGGTGAGAGATAAACGTCGGAGTATACGAATCATTTTTACAGAAACAGCAAATGACGGCTCACCAGTCAAAGAAGTCTCCGTTGTAGGTCACAAAGATGTTTGGCTTGGTTTCTTGAACGTGATCAAACCACCTCTGAATGAGAGCCGCCTGCGGCCAAACCCAGATCACCACATGTTATTAGTTATTACGCAACCACAGAGCGTTACATTAACCTGAACTAAAATATAAATACTTTTGTTTTCGCTCCCATTTCCCCATGAGTTAAACACTTTTTCTGTTCACTTAAAATGCTTATTTCTCTCACATTTGTAAAAAACAATAAATCATGTTAGTGAGCACTTCTCCTTATGTATTAGGCACTCTGAACTATGCTTTGCAAGGAAGAAATACTAACACGGTTTTTAAAATTTGTGAAAGATGAGCCTTTTGAGTGCCTAGAAAAAGTCTTTTAGATCTTTTAATTTATGGGAGCAAAAACAAAAGTGTTGCATTTTTATTTATTAATTATATATTTTCATCTTTGAAGACAGTATACACAGTATATCTACCTCGTCATCCTCGTTGAAAATGGTGAACGGGCCTTCATATTCAGGCTTAGGAGTGAATTCAAAATCCTCGATGTTCTCAGAGACGATCTCTCTGTTTGTGATTAGAAACCCCTTTAAAAATCAAACACAGAGTTAGTCAAACTGACACATTAGTAACAGAATACTACATATCATGAATACAACTCACCTGTCCATCAATCATGTAGGACATCATCATAATCTGATCGCTCTCTGCGTCCGGGAATTTCAGTGGAAGCTTGGTGGTCTCGATGTCGAAAGCCATAACAACAGGGTCCTAAAAATAACAAAACAAAACAATGCTTTAATGAAGTCGCTGAATCGACGTAAGATCCCATGTTGCAACGTAATAAATAAAATCCTCATACTGGTCGCTCCACAAGATCGTCTCTCCTAATGATCTCCGGTGGGTAAGCGCTGCCTCTGTATCGAACATTATACCAGTGAGCCTGAGAAATAAAGACAGTAGAGATCAGAACAACAAGCACGCGAATCCTCTAAAACATCGGGACGACAGGAATCGATCTTTACCACGTGGATCTTGAGGTCGATGGACAACCGCACATGATAGGGCACATCGTACTCCCTCATGTCCACGATGTTGTCCAACTGGTCTGAGATACTCTTTGAACTCCCGGCTTCATCTGCCGAGGCCACATTGCCCCCCGATAGGGCACTGCAAAAAAACAACAACGTGTGTCAGCGGATCAATATTAAACTGGAACTAACAGGTCATTATTAGAAACTGATGGTTCGGTGGTACCTTGATAACATTGCGGTGTAGGAGTCGTTGGACTGCTCCCTCTCTCTGTTCTTGCGTACTGCCGGGGAGATCTCACGCTTTACCTTCATGAGGTCGTCCACGGTGCTGAATGACAGCTTGACATAGGTTCTCTTCAGCCCGACGAGATGGTTCGGCTGAGGAGAACAGGCCAGCACAGTTCAACATGTTGGTAAATGTGGCCGTTGTGTTCAAATCTCCTTTCTGTTACATAATATACACGAAAAAAACAAAACTCTCACCAGGTCGAGGTCCTCTTTTGGGATAACTTCAAGCTTCGCCACCTTTCCTTGAAACTTTCTCGAAAAGTACGAGATGACTTCTCTCTCACAGTTCTGAAAGTAAAGGCGTCTTTAAGGAGCAAGTTGTTGAAAGTGATGACATGGCATGAGAACCAAATGACAAACACCGTCTTACCCTTTTAGTAGCGATGTAGAAATATGGCTTGAATGGGAGGGCCACCTACAGACAGGATGTTAGAGCAGTGGAGAAGGCTGTGAGGTGCACATTTTAATGTTTCATGATTATGTTTTAAAAAAAACAATATCACACCTTGAACCTGCTTCCATCGTCCTGTATGAAATAATAGTCCACAGCACTGATCATCCGCTTGTCCTCGTCCAGGATCTCAGTCTAAGAAGTAGAGAAGTGTCTCATTTAATACCAGACATTCAACAGGCCAGATATGACACCGTGTGTGTGTGTGTGTGTGTGTGTATACTTACAGGATGCATGTTGATCAGCCAGCCCGTTTTCTCCCCCGGCTCCTTCATCCTGTCGAAACCGAAGCGGGTATCCATCTCGTCGGTGAACTGGCTGCGCTCGAGCCGCTTGAGGGCCGACATCGCGGATCCATCGTCCCTGTTTACAAACACACACAACAGCTACTTTACACAACAGGTTGCATATGTCACATACTAAATACCACTTAGAGTATTTCGTGTCCGTCTAGACTACTTTCAGAGGAAGCATGGATCAACTCACTGGTTCTCCTGGTCCCCTCCACTTTGTCCTCGCTCCGCTTTGTACCGTCCACTGTTTTGTAGAACCATCTTCTATCTTCGGTCTGCCGGCTGCCACACGGCGAAATAAACCAAACTCCCGCTCGGTTTGTTTAAACCTGTCAGCAAAGCTGCATTTGAAACGTTTTAGAAGTTATTTCGACGGTTTGACCTCCGCTTTTATCTGTCGCTGTCACTGACGCTGCTTGTGTTTTCTTATTTTGGCGCGTTCGTGCAGTTGCCGCGAGAGGAGCGCAGAGAAGAAGATCAAAGATCGTTCATAAGACAGAGGAATCACTCAGACCGAGAAATCAACACCGTTTTGAGTGGTAACGTAAAAGCCCACAAACTTCAACCATGGACACCTTTGCCTTCTCTCATTCATCACATGTTCATTGTAAATTCATTAATTCACACTTTAAAGTTTCAGGGACTGACTTTCATTTACAGACCGGACAACAAGTGATTATTTATTTTATCCATGTGTTTAACCACTGAGTGAGACACGTGTAACAGACACGATCTTTGGTGGGATTCTTGTTTCCTGGGAGGAGCTTGAAGCCCCTCCCTGCGCATGTTTACCATGGAGGTGGTGTATTGTGGGTCGTGTGGGAGGCAGAAAGAGAGACTGGAGGTAGGTGGCAGTGACGTTTCCTGCTGCTGTTAGGAACGTTATTTAAACTGTTAAACCTTTAACAACGGTGCAGCTCCCTTTGTGCGGAGTGTGAGGTCTCGGTGGAGATAATTAGATATTGAAGGATGCAGTTTAATCAAAATAACTTGGCTGTCAGCTAACTCGCTAGCCTGGTGTGTATTGCAACAACAACAACAACGACTGAGCAGTGCTGCCCGTTAGCTGTAGTGGTGAGAGTAATTAAATTATGCTTTTACACGTGAATACCGCTTTTAAAAGTTATCTTAACTCATTTAAACCCGAGGTTCATGTCGTTCACACAAACTGACTTCATGTTTGAGCTTGAAGAGCAGGTGGATTTTCCTGTCCAGCAAAAAACATGGTAACAAATTGAACATTTTCTGTCAGAATTGACTAACTTTAACATCGTGCTTTGTCTGAACTTCGTTAAGTAGTTGTTAGTTGATAGTTTATTGCACACTGGTTTAGGTTTAGTTCAGTTTGCAGGTGATACGCCTAAATTTAGTTTGTTTACATTTTGACGGTCGGTTGAGGTCAGCATGGAGCTAAAGTGACCACACTACCTCTATCTCCTTTTGTTATGTAGTGGAGTCACTAGCGTTTATATTAAATGATCAGTACTCTCAGAACTGATTTTTTAAAATATGACACATGAAATGAAAACGTTTGCTATTCTTATGAAGAAATGGTGTTTCTGTCAAAGTCAAAGTGGCTCCAGAGGACTAATGCCTCCTTGTCTCTGTGTTGAATCACATTCAATTCATATTAATATGTTTCATTTTCATTTGAAATACAGATTCAAGCTGACACAAAGAATCCATTTGTTTCACACAGATATTAATATAATCCTTGATTTTTATTTTTTTTTATTTTTGTGCTTTCGGATGCTCATTAATGCTGTTTGTTTGTGTGTTTGTGCCTCCTCACCCTCAATGTTGACCTTTACCCCATATGAAGCAGCCACACTTGGCTCTCCTGGCAGCTGTTACAGACAGGCTGATTACTGGACACTGGCTGTGGAAGGTAGCCTGACAGACTCTACTGGTATAGCTGTACACCATGCATACCATCCAGTCATGCATAGCTATCTTGAGTTAAAGCTGTTGTTGTTAAAGTCGAGTATGAAAGTAACCCACAGAGGTTATCTCAAATTACCCAGCATGCTTCTGTCCCGAGAGGGCTTCAGCCTTCTGATCACCTCAAAGGAAATGTCTTTAGACTAGAATAATGCACAGACAGCTGTAATAGCATTATCACAAAAAGTCACTTAATCGAGGTCCAACTGTTTTTTGAGGCTGACTTTCATATTTGAGAATTAATAATTCTGGTAAATTATATATTGACAGATTTTTTACTTAAACACTTATCGTAAACAGACATTTTTTACAAGGATCCCTTTAAAATTGGTTGTTGGTGAATTTTGTCAAAGACTGAATGAGACATTTTACTGTACTAAACTCTATAGTGGACAAAGTATGCAATGCTGTCACTGTTATATGATAATGTAATATAATATGTATTAGATTTATCAGTCAACAGTCACTTTTAATGCCACCAAAGCTGTTATTACCACGTGGGGTGAAAGAGATATCCCACTTATGTGATAAGTCTCATATGACATATAATTTCCACTTTGCTCTTTTTGCAGTCTCAGTGGAATGCCTGTAAATGTTCCATTTGGTAGTTTTGGGATTAATCCTATGGATATTTTTGCGACTGTGGAGGAATAATACCAAGACGGTAACAATGCCCGTGAAAAAAGAGGAATCTCCGTCTGGCTGCGGTCCACCTGCAGCCGAGGAGGACATGCCCGCTGCACAATCCCCTCATCCAGGCGAACATTCCCTGTCATCGGATCCTACTATCTCAACACACAATGGGGATAACAGTCCTCAGGCCAGCAGTGCCTCTGCGGGTCTTGAAGTTAAAGCAGTGGACACTGAGGTTTTGCAGGCGTCCTCTGAGATAAATGCAGAAAAGTCATCACGGCGAATGAACACCCAGAAACCTCCCAAAACCAAGGTGCCAATGCTGAGCTCGGAGCCCGAGGCGAGGGCTCGCCTCAAGTTCATTCTCGGAGCATCGGAGGACAACTCTTCAGACGACGAACCTCTGGTCACTAAACCTCCAAGCGGTGCATCTCTGCCACCAACCTACGCCCCCAAACCTTTTCCTCAGCAGGTGTCCTCTGCAGGGCCACAGACCAGCTCCTCAGGCATGAAGTAAGACCTTGTTTCTATAGCATTGATTTAATGTCAGCTCTCTAGGGTCAAGCATGTTTTCATCAAGACACAAAGGGGAAAAACCTTGTCTAGAAGTTGTAACTCTGGCATGTGACATAAGAAGCATCTCTCTCACACTTTGTCTGAGGGACTTAAATTAACTCATGGGTTGTTTTTTAAGGTCTGGCAGAGGATGTATTTTCTCAAAATATGTGGGTCAAACACGTGGCCACGTTGGTGACGGGCCGTTATGTTCCTACTTGCCCTGTCTCCACAAGCTGTGCCTTATCACCTGACTGGGTGGCGTTGACCTGCGCTGTTGTCGCACGCCAAACACCCCCGACTCTATTATTGGAACAAGAGCCTGCACCAAACGACTTTGAAAACTGTGGTGTGACTCTAGGTTACAACACAGCAAACAAAAGACACTTAAACATTTCTTTTGTTTGGCGCACACATCTACATGCTCAGCTTGACATGCTTAGTTGGATTGATTTACCCAAATGCTTAAAGCTATGTGTGCTAGCAGGACGTGTGAGAAGCATCATGAAGGAGAACACGGTAAGAGATTTTCCTCTCCCCAAATCTAATCCTTAGAATCATCTTCCTGCAGTTCAGAGGAATAGTTTTGTCGCAGAAGAAGATGCACTTGTGAAAAATGTTTAATGGAAAACAGATCCTTTTGTGCATGTGCGTGTACAAAGATTTCACCCTTTTCATGTCAAAGAACTTTGGCTACAGACTTTGCTTAGATAGTAGTTGCTTTCTTTTATAAACGAAGTTGAAGGAACACTTTCGTCCTGATGTCGGCCTTGCCTCTTTGTATATTTAGAAGAAGCAGCCTGGTGATCTGTCACAAGGATCTGTAGATTATTTTGCTACAAATGTGGGAGGGGAGAAGGGAGGGAGCACATGAGAGGAAGCAGTTTATAGCGGTCTCTTTGTTTTTTGCCTTCGATTTTAAATTCTAGTTTCACCACTAAAAGGTGTTAAAGTATACCGTATAATGGAGGGAAACGGCTGTCAGGGTCTCAACTTGTGCCCATGTCTCTGAAGGTAAGTGCTATTTAAAGTTGGATTCCGTTTTGTGTAATTTCATACTTGTGCTGCATAGTTTATTATGTACATGTATCATGTGCTTTACGTTGCAGCTGCAGAAACAATAGAAACATGCGTAGTGACTTTGTATGAAAGTAGAATAGATACGGGAGTCACTTTGTGAACAGGGAGGATCCCTCGTGTGGTCTTACTGTTGTTAAATAACTGAGCAGAGCTTGTGTTTGCACACATGAGTGTGAGGAAATAGAAGAAAAAAACCCACTCCGACAATGTGTTCCCTCGAGGAGGGAAGTGTAAACACGACCGCAGTAACTATGAAGCAGGAACGAAATAAGCCAACAAGACTCAGTCACGTTTGTAAATAGATACTCCTCGGTTGGTTCAGTAAAGTACGTATGTGAATAAACTTCTGCCTCATATTCTGGAAGAAGATTAGAACGTGGATACACATGGGAGCACTGCGTGACACAGAGCTGCAAAAGGTGATCAAAAACTAGCTAAATAGCGGTGCAATCTCTATTTACTGAATGGTAGCACTGTTACGTTTAAAGTTCATATCGGCTGAGAAAAAGTTGCACTTCAACTTCACAACATCGCTCACTGATGCAACGCAGGTGTTTCTCAGTGATATCTCAACATGGGACAGAGTTTCCATGAGATGACTTGCGGTGCAATTGCAAGGAGACTTTGGAATGAACAAGGTTCCAGCCAGCTGATAATCGTGGTACGTGACATTATCTCAAGTCATTGCTTCGCATTTGTTTCCTTAAACTAAGCAGTGTTGAAAATGTCTCTTATGTGTGTTGTAATACAGGTGTTGTTTAAATTATAAAGGATTTCCAACAATGAAACGAACAGGTCAGAGACTTAACTACACTTTTGAATCTCGCAAGAATCTGAAGTCAAACATGTCCGCATGTCAGTAAACCAGAGGAAATGATCCACTTTTATAAAAATGTAGTGTGTGATCGTAAAACCAAAATGCTTTAGCTGTTTTTTCTGTGATTAGATGATTACATTGACAGCCAGATAATGGAGCCTGCAGGGAAACACTTGTAGACTCGATTGAACTCTCTTGATAATTATTATCACTGACTACTACGCAGACATAACCCAATAGTCCTTCTTGAATATAGTCATCTGTTAAAACTGCGGTAAACGAGAAGGCTATAGGTCAACTTCACTTAATCCCCGGACCAAAGTAATATCAGATATGTTTGCAAAATGGAAGCTCAGGTTCATGACAACATAGTTACATGAACTGCCATGAACTACAACTAGCTTGGCTGTTGATTTGTGATCTTTTTGAATATTTCTGAATATATATGTATGTATGTATGTATGTTTTATTAGTCATTACTTCTGTACATCTGTTGCGTGATTGGGCTCAGGTAAAGTTTGTATGAATGCATCAGGCTGATGACACATTTACCTTTTTATTGTCTCTTATTGTTGGTGAACATCAGACAGAAAGGGGCAACAGCGTGGACCTATTTTCTGTCATAAATAGCCGAGTTGTACATTGTTGATTTGAAGGTCTTAAATACATGAACTGGTCCACAGTCTCTTTGCCTGTAGAGGAGAGAGAGTGAACTTTAACTTGGGTTTTTGATTTTCAGTGCTGTTGCTCCCTTGTTGTTGCTGCTGTATAGTTTGTTTTCAGGTTCCTGGATTATTTGACATTTGTTTCATCTTTTATATGCAACAGAATACACGCAGGTTATTGTGTTTTGCTGTGTGGTTGGAAGAGACAACTAACCATGACCTTTCTACTCCAGGCCTAGCATGTCTGGCCTTCACTTGGTGAAGAAAGGACGTAAACACAGAAAGATGGACCTACAGAGGGACTTCACCGTGGCCTCTCCTGCTGAGTTTGTTACCCGATTTGGTGGCAACCGCGTCATCGAAAAAGTAAGAATGAAAGTCCTCCCTGTATATCTTTATCTCTGTATTTCATTGATCAATGACCATTTCTTAAGGCTACACAAGTGCTTTCTGTTTCTGTTGCAGGTGCTGATCGCTAACAACGGTATAGCTGCAGTCAAATGCATGCGTTCGATCCGCCGCTGGTCCTACGAAATGTTTCGTAATGAAAGGACCATCCGCTTTGTTGTCATGGTCACCCCTGAAGACTTGAAAGCTAATGCAGGTCATTGTGAACACGATGCTCATTATTATCTAGCAGAAGATATCCCCAATCATATCATATCCTAATCGTACCATATTACGTTGCTCGTTTCCCTCATAGAATACATTAAAATGGCAGACCACTATGTGCCCGTACCCGGTGGGCCCAACAACAACAACTACGCCAACGTGGAGCTGATCGTTGACATCGCTAAAAGAATCCCAGTGCAGGTGCTCTTTGACCCTTTTCCTTCTTTCTGGTCTGTAACCTCTTTGACCTTTGACTTTGCCTACCTGGTAACACAAATGGATAAATGACGTGTCTGTGTGTATCACTGTCAACAGGCCGTCTGGGCTGGTTGGGGTCATGCCTCAGAAAATCCCAAACTGCCTGATCTGTTGGACAAAGCAGGAATATGGTTCTTAGGTAAAATAAATCCAGTTTGAAACCACATAATTTAATTTAATTGTGTTTACTTGTCTCATTGTTAACTGACTGTATTCCTCTCAGGCCCGCCCAGTAAGGCCATGTGGGCTCTAGGGGATAAGGTGGCTTCTTCCATTGTGGCTCAAAGTGCTGACATTCCCACATTGCCGTGGAGCGGATCAGGTGATGATTTTCCTCCTGCACTGTCTCAGTTCACACAAACTCTACTATGTGTTTGTCAGTGTATTCATGTTCTTTGCATATGTGTTGCTGCAGGTCTGAGAGTGGACTGGGAAGAGGACGACCAGTTTCTGGGCAATGTCATCAGTGTTCCTCCGGTGGTCTACTCAAAGGGCTGTGTTCTTGATGTAGACGATGGACTGGCAGTGAGTATATTTTGCAAAGTCATCATAATAAAATCTTCACATTTGCTTCTTTTTTTGCCTAAATTATGATTCCCTTCACTGAATAATCTTTTTGCTAAATTTCATTGTATGTGGTGTTTCTTTGCAGGGGGCTGAAAGGATTGGTTATCCGGTTGTCATCAAGGCCTCTGAAGGGGGAGGTGGAAAGGGTATTCGAAAAGTAGAAAATTCTGAGGATTTTCCAAGCCTCTTCAGACAGGTTTGATTTGCTTTACACCCCCTTTTTTCACACAGTTGCATTTGATGTACGTCTGACAGCTATGTTGATGATTTGTTATTTTGAGTGCAGGTTCAGACAGAGGTACCCGGCTCGCCTATCTTCATCATGCAGCTGGCTCAGCATGCCAGACACCTTGAGGTTCAGATACTGGCTGATGAGTACGGGAACGCCATCTCTCTCTTTGGACGAGACTGCTCCATCCAGAGAAGGCACCAGAAGATCATAGAGGAAGCTCCTGCCACCATAGCTGCTTCCTCAACGTTCGAGCAAATGGAACAGGTTAGTTTACATCACTGCATGTATTATTTTCACCCCCGTAATTAACTTGTCTGGTTAAAACTTGACATTCGGTCTCTTCTTTCTGGCCCAGTATGCTGTGCGATTGGCCAAGATGGTGGGCTATGTGAGTGCAGGTACTGTGGAATATCTTTACTCTGAGGACGGAAGTTTCCATTTCCTGGAGCTGAATCCTCGCCTGCAGGTGGAACACCCCTGTACAGAGATGATCGGAGATGTGAACCTGCCAGCTGCCCAGCTTCAGGTAAAAGAAAAAGAATAATCAAACCATAGGAACAAAATATGTAACTATCTTCTTCCAGTTCTTCCATTTTTAACAGTTTTTTTTCATCTACCTTAGATTGCGATGGGCATCCCCCTTCATAGAATTAAGGACATCCGTTTGCTTTACGGAGAAACTCCGTGGGGGGACACCGTTATTAACTTTGAGACTCCAGAATGCATACCAAGTCCAAGAGGGCACGTCATAGCTGCACGGATCACCAGTGAGAACCCTGATGAGGTAGAGCGCAATTTCCCCAACACACCGTTTCGTTATTTTATTTATTTATTTATTATTTATATATATGTTCTTTTGATTTGCAACACTGACTCGTCATCCTTGTGCTCTCTCACAGGGGTTCAAGCCCAGTTCTGGCACCGTGCAGGAGCTGAACTTCCGCAGCAGTAAAAACGTCTGGGGTTACTTCAGCGTGGGGGCAACTGGAGGCCTGCATGAATTTGCAGACTCCCAGTTTGGACACTGTTTCTCCTGGGGAGAGAACCGTGAAGAAGCCATCTCGTAAGCCTCTTTTTTTAGTTCTTCTGATTTTGAGATATCTAATCTTTAACAATTAAAGAGCTTTCAGGTCAACAGCCAGTATCGCCCTAATGTTGTAACTGCAATGACCTGCCAACAGTATAATGACATCTTAGAAGACATCTATGCAATATACTTTTACAAAAATCCCAATTTCATAGTATAGATGTGTTTATCAGCTGTCATATTTGCCATGTGCTTCAGGAACATGGTGGTGGCTTTGAAGGAGCTGTCCATTAGAGGTGACTTCAGGACCACGGTTGAATATCTCATTAAGTTACTAGAGACGGAAAGCTTCAGAAACAATGATATCGACACCAGCTGGCTGGATCATCTCATTGCAGAGAAAGTGCAGGTAGGAGGCTGATGACCTTGTGCCATAGATCACACGGCTAAGTAGTCGGTCACTGAATTTGTGGTCGTTTGTTTTTCTCATGAAGCCACATGCTCTTCCTACAGGCGGAGAGACCAGATACCATGCTGGGTGTTGTTTGTGGGGCTTTGCATGTTGCTGATGCAAGCTTCCAAAAGAGCATGTCTGATTACCTGCATTCACTTGAAAGGTCAGTCGACACAGTCCAATCGTATTCACGTCTCACTGCAGTTCTCACTGTATCTTTATGTATTTGACCGATTTAAAAACTACTGCATCCATAGAGGCCAAGTACTGCCTGCAGCCACTCTCCTCAACTCTGTCAGTGTGGACTTAATATATGAAGGAGTCAAGTTCTGCCTCAAGGTATCTGCTTTATTCCCTTCACACGTTCCTTGTTTGACTCTTCCCTGTTTTAATCAATACGTTATCACCTCTGCTACCTGCAGGTTGCTCGCGAATCCCCAACAACTTTTGTCATCATGATGAACGACTCCAACATTGAGATAGACGTCCACAGGCTGAGTGATGGGGGCCTCCTGCTGTCCTACGACGGCAGCAGCCATATCACCTACATGAAGGAGGAAGTGGACAGGCAAGTGCTCTTGAATCCGTAGATCTAGTTTCATCTATTTGTTTGTTTGACTAGTTTTTCTCTGAATTACCTCATCCTCCCCCACAGATATCGCATCACTGTTGGCAACAAGACTTGTGTATTTGACAAGGAGAAGGATCCCACGGTGCTGAGGTCGCCCACTGCTGGTAAACTGCTGCAGTACGTGGTAGACGATGGAGGCCACGTCTTTTCAGGAGCGATCTATGCAGAGATTGAGGTGAGTGTGACAGATGTTGGTAAAATAGATTTCTTGAGGCATGCGATATTTTTGTTCACTGGCTGTTTTGCGCTGTGGTTTCAGGTGATGAAGATGGTGATGATGTTGACAGTGCAGCAGTCTGGTTGCGTCCACTTTGTCAAGAGACCTGGAGCTGTTCTGAAGCCTGGCTGCGTGGTGGCACGTGTAGAGCTGGATGACCCCAGCAGTATGCATCGGGTAAATTAATGGAAAATCATATAACGCCATATGCTCATAGTGTTCTCTTAATTGTGCCTTGTAATTCCTACCGCTTTATAACGTTATTGTGAAGTTCAGGTCTTGGCTGTTGGCCTTGTATCTGAAAATGTTTATTGTAACTTTTACCTGGTAAACAAATCATTCTATTCTTTGTCCCATGTTTCATTTTTAATCTGTTCTTTCCTGCTTTCACCTCCTGTCATAGGTGGAGCTCAACACGGCCATATTGCCACCGCAGCAACCACTGCCCATTGTTGGTGAAAAGCTTCACCAGGTGTTTCACTGTGTGCTGGAAAACTTGATGAAAGTCATGGCTGGCTACTGCCTTGAAGAGCCCTTCTTTAGCAACAAGGTACACAGCAGGCGTTCTGCCTCTACAGACTCTTAAATGATGTCATCGGTGTTAATCATATGTACATGTTCATGTCTGCAGCTGAAACAGTGGGTGGCTACCCTGATGAAGACCCTAAGGGACCCCTCGCTGCCGCTGTTGGAACTCCAGGAGATCATGACGAGCTTGGCGAGTCGCATTCCTCCCAGTGTGGAGAAAAATATCCGTAAAGTCATGGCTCAGTACGCGAGCAACATCACCTCTGTCCTCTGCCAGTTCCCGAGCCAAAGGGTGAGTGACGCTGACGCACGGGGACATATTGCTGGTTGCAGTTGTGAACGTTCTCAATGTAATCGGATGATGTTTCTCTTTGTTTATTCCAGATTGCAAATATTCTAGACAGCCATGCAGCAACCCTGCTGAGGAAGCCTGACCGAGAGGTGTTCTTCATGAACACTCAGAGTATCGTTCAGCTGGTACAGAGGTTAGTTTCATACTTTTTTTTTTTGTCAGATGCAGATTGTACAGCAGTAATACATAACGTATGGAACAATATCACATTGATTGACACATGTCTGAATGCGGCTGGTCCAGGTACCGCAGTGGCATTCGGGGTTACATGAAGTCTGTGGTTCTCGATCTGCTGAAGAGATACCTGCAAGTAGAGATACAGTTTCAACAAGGTGACGTTATTACATTAAACTGTAGATGAGTCATTTTCTTTAATAACCAAGGATTGTTTTCATAGCTAACGTCATTGTACTCTTGTTCTCACAAACAGCTCACTACGACAAGTGTGTTGTCAACTTGCGAGAGCAGCACAAACCGGACATGAGCCCTGTGCTGGAGTACATCTTCTCTCATGCCCAGGTTTCCAAGAAGAACATCCTCGTCACAATGCTTATAGTAAGGCCTCAAAACTGCCACGCATAAGTGACACAATCCTCAACACTAAAGTTTTAGTGAAAGACACTTTGTGCACTGTGTAGGACCAGCTGTGTGGAAGGGATTCCATGCTAGCAGATGAGCTCATGGCCATTCTGAACGAGCTCACGCAGCTTAGCAAGATGGAGAACTCAAAGGTGGCCTTGAGAGCCAGACAGGTAACGTCTAAAAACGCCTGTTAAGTGTCAGTTAAATATTATTATGTTTGTTTTAAATGTGTTTAATCAGGCTAAAAGACTGGATACCTCAAGTTGGATACTTTGTGAGACCCTCACCTTTTTAAGACCAGGTTATTCCATCTGTATGGATTTTATATTATATTTGTAAATGTGTCGTAGGTCTTGATTGCATCCCATTTACCATCATATGAACTGAGGCACAACCAGGTGGAGTCCATCTTCCTGTCAGCCATTGACACGTACGGCCACCAGTTTTGTCCAGAAAACTTGAAGGTCAGTCTCCTTGTGTGGAGACATTTCATTGTAATCATCAGTTCTTTTAGCAGCTTGAATATCAAATTAATATTTATTTTCTTTTGCACAGAAACTCATTCTCTCTGAAACCTCAATTTTTGACGTTTTGCCCAATTTCTTCTATCACGCCAACCAAGTTGTCTGCATGGCTGCCTTGGAGGTACTGTCATGGTATTAACACTTTTCTTTCTCATGCATTTTTATTTCTTAAGTCGTGATAATCTTGTTTCGTCTTGACTCTCAGGTGTATGTGCGCAGAGGTTACATCGCCTATGAGCTGAATAGCATCCAGCATCACCAGCTGCAGGACGGAACATGCGCTGTAGACTTCCAGTTTATGCTGCCGTCATCACATCCGAACAGGTAAAAAGAAATCCTTCACTGTACTACACTCAAAAGACTCTTTAAATAACACATTGTTGCCTGAATTACTGGCGAATCCCTCCCACTTCCAAAACTGGACAGATACCAGCTATCAGGCTGTGATGTTGTCACAATGTGTGGGAGCTTTTGTAGAATAATACCTCACTTTGTGGCTGTTTATAGATGAATCCAGGCTTTACAAAACAGTATTTTACTCTCCTTCAGCCATCCCGTCTTCATTATGACATTGACCTGAAAGATCAATAAACATCAATTGAATAGTTATCCTGTTCAGTGGTGCAGGTGGAGAGCCTATAAACTGCTGCTGTATCTGCTAATGGCTAACAGTGAATGCAGAATGCTTTTACCCACTGGACATGAATGTGATTGTGCACAGCATCTTGTTTAGTGCTTTAATCTAATCACAATGCCTTGAGGTAGAGGTACAGTTTGATCATCCACTGCTAATACTCACCTGTCAATCATCTGATTTCAGAGGGAGAAACCCTACTCACAACAGGTAGAGTAAAGCTCCTCCCAACCAGCCAAACCACCCGATCGTGTGTCCGTCTCACAGCAATGCATGCAGAATGTGCTGTGTTGCTTCTTTCCTTCTGTCCTGTGAAACCAGAAACCTGTGCTTCAGGACTCCTCCAGAGTCTCAAGTCCTTCTTAATTCACTTCTTTTTTTCTTTTTTTTTTGTTGCTTTGCAATACTGAGCATTTTGAGAGGGTTAATCTTTTATTTGTTCCGTGTTCCTCTTAGAAACTTCACGCCTGAGATTATGTTGACTGCTGCCGAATGGAGAGCCTGTACTCTCAGGCATTAGTCTTTGCTTCTTCAATTTGCAACTCCCCAAACAGATACAGTAACAATTGCTCCGGATAGCAATAGTTCATAATTCCTTTCAATTCCATACATGAAATATGCCCATCAAATGTGTGTAGTTATAACTGGATATGAGGGTGATCAGATGTTAATTGCTCTCTGTATGCATATTTGTAATCTTGGCTGTTCAGTGTTTTCTTTTGCTTCAGCAAACCTCTCAATGTGGTTATTCAGTGGTTCAGTCTCGCTGTTACTGTCTGTGTGTCTCTTTGTCAGGCTTCCCGTGCCAGTGAGTGGATCAAGCCATTTGAAAATGAGGCGGCAGAGCAGTGAACTCTTCATGGACGGAGCCTTTTCTCCCCCTTGCCAGCGCATGGGCGCCATGGTGGCTTTCCACTGTTTCGACGACTTCAAAAGGTCACTTTTAACTTGCTTGTAATTTTCCTTTCTCTCCTCTGTATTAGTGGAAAAGATAGTGTAGATCAAAGCACAAGTAGCATGTTGATGCGTTTCTTTCTTTCGCAGGAATTTTGATGAAGTTCTCTCCAGCTTTGCAGAACCACTCTTGGAGAGTGCTTCGTTCTCAGAGTCCTGCTCCGGTCTGTTTGAGGAGGAGAACTTCAAGGTGAGCGCTGCGGTTGTGTAAGAGTCACTGTCTTATCACTAAAAAGGCTGTTTTCATCTGTATCACTACAGCCACCGAGTTCTCCCTCATCCCCTACAGAACACGAGGGAAAACCCGATCCACATCATTAACGTGTCCATAAAAACAGCGGACACAAAAGACGACGATGCCCTGGTTACAGCCTTCACCGCCTTTGCCCAGTCAAAGGTCAGCTAGCTTCTTAACACATGAATGTGAGCTGTTGTTTCAGTTTTATTAATATTTAATCAAAAAATCCTGGTGTTGTTTATTTTTGCAGCGAGCTGTTCTCTTTGAATATGGAATCAGGCGAATCACATTTTTGATTGCACAGACGGTAAATGCACACAATTTAGTTGTTACTGTGATGTAACTGAGTCATTAATCAAAAGTATAAAAGAGCAAATACGTGACTGATATTAATTTTTAATACTAGAAATGAAAAAATGTTATATATATATATATTGTTACCCGCATTGCATTTATGATTCTAGCTACTCCGTTAACAATAATTTAACTTAATATCTAACATAATAATGTAGCTGTCATCTCATGTGAATCCTTGTATTGTCTATAAACTAGAGGTAATGCCGCATTGTGCTACATGACCATAGCTGCACTCGGTGTGTTCAGTAAAGCTTCCAGTACAACTGCTTTCAACAAGTACACATTTACTGTGTAAATACACTTGGTTGTTATCTGACTATTTTTATTTGAATATGTCAATTCAACAGAGAGAATTTCCCAAGTTCTTCACTTTCAGAGCTAGAGATGGGGTAAGTTTTTCTTCATAAAACCTGTAATTGTAGAATTGATAATCAGATCGCCGTTCGTTGATAAGCTGAAATGCTGCTGTCTGAGGAGATGATGATGTGCGTCTCTCTCCTCAGTTCCAGGAGGATCGTATTTACCGTAATCTGGAGCCGGCTTTAGCGTTTCAGCTGGAGCTCAACCGCATGAGGAACTTTGACCTGACAGCCGTTCCCTGTGCCAACCACAAGATGCAGCTGTACCTCGGTGCTGCTCGTGTTCAGGAGGGAGCTGAAGTCACAGACTACCGCTTCTTCATACGAGCTATTATCCGCCACTCTGATCTCATTACAAAGGTTAGTGGAGCAGCTGGAAATCACAGCTTATTGATTCTTTGAAGAAAAATAGACATCATTAGTACTTATAATTGCCTGATTAAAGATTTTTTGGGTGATTTAAATCTCTTTTTATACACAACCAGGAAGCCTCCTTTGAATACCTTCAAAATGAGGGAGAACGTCTCCTGTTGGAGGCCATGGATGAGTTGGAGGTGGCCTTCAGTAACACCAGTGTCCGCACAGACTGCAACCACATCTTCCTCAACTTCGTCCCCACTGTCATTATGGACCCCTCTAAAGTCAGTGTCCAGCACGTATATGCTACCACTACAAGTATTATTAATTATGGCTGCATGTCTTTTTAGGATTACTTAGACATTCATATGACTTCTTTGTGTATACCAGTTGTATCTCTCAGTGGTCTTTGTCCTCTTCTTGGGACCCTTAGATAGAGGAGTCAGTTCGCTCCATGGTGATGCGCTACGGCAGCCGTCTTTGGAAGCTGCGGGTCCTGCAGGCTGAGCTGAAGATCAACATCCGTCTGACACCAACCGGGAATGCCATTCCTGTCCGCCTGTTTCTCACTAATGAGTCTGGCTATTACTTGGACATCAGCCTGTACAAGGAGGTCACCAACCCAAGTTCTGGACAGGTGAGGACAGTGGACTGTGGTATCTGGCAGGAGATTTGTTTTATGGTTGCATGTTCACGGTCAAATTAATCACTAATTTCCCTTTCCAGATCATGTTCCAGTCATATGGCGATAAGCAGGGTCCTCTGCATGGCATGCTGATCAACACTCCGTATGTGACCAAAGACCTGCTGCAGGCCAAACGCTTCCAGGCTCAGACTCTCGGGACTACATACGTCTATGACTTCCCTGAGATGTTCAGACAGGTACTGCTTACTCACTGAATTAGGTTTATTTAATTGTTGTTCCTAGGATGTCTGACTCACACTTAAAATAATCCTGTAGGCACTGTTTAAGCTGTGGGGTCCAGGGGACAAATACCCTAAAGACGTCCTAATGTGCACCGAGCTGGTTCTGGACCCTCAAGGTCGACTCGTGCAGATGAACCGCCTGCCTGGAGACAATGATGTAGGACGTCTTTTTAAAGCATTCATGTTAGTTCATGCTTTCTCAGTGTGCCGATGCTGATGATCACTAAAACCTCTTCTTCACCAGGTGGGAATGGTTGCCTTCAGGATGAAGATGAAGACTCCAGAGTACCCAGAGGGCAGAGATATCATAGTCATCTGCAATGACATCACTCACATGATCGGCTCATTTGGTCCTCAAGAGGATGAGCTGTTCCTCAGGGCGTCTGAGTTGGCTCGGGCTGAGGGAATTCCCCGCATTTACGTCGCAGCCAACAGTGGAGCACGCATCGGCCTCGCTGAGGAGATCAAACACATGTTCCAGGTGGCCTGGATTGACCCCACGGACCTCTACAAGGTGACCCCTGAAATGTGTTTCTACTAATATTTACATCATACAAGTTGAGGCACTGAGCACAGGAAATAGTGTAGCAATATGTATGTGTGATTTTACATTTCTTATTATAAGTTATTTCCATTTCCCTGCAGGGCTTCAAGTACCTCTACCTGACCCCGCAGGACTACACTCGCATCAGCTCCACCAACGCTGTTCACTGTCACCACGTAGAGGAAGGGGGAGAGTCCAGGTACGACAAATCATCAGTTGTTCTGATGAAGTAGAACATTTGGCTGGTTTGAATATCACTGACACCCTTAACGTGTGTCTGTGAGATGATAGAGATTTGGTCCTTCATGGTCTTCATCACTGTGTTACAGGTACATCATCACTGACGTCATCGGGAAGGACGACGGTCTCGGGGTTGAGAACCTGCGAGGTTCTGGCACCATAGCTGGAGAATCCTCTCAGGCGTATGACGAGATTATTACAATTAGTATGGTGAGAATGTGGATCTGATTTCTCTGAGTAGGAAGAACACAAGTGATCCTCGGGGACGTTATCACGTGAGTCACTTTTTCTGCTCTTACAGGTGACTTGTCGCGCTATTGGAATTGGAGCCTATCTGGTCCGTTTGGGACAGAGAGTGATTCAGGTGGAAAACTCTCACATTATCCTGACTGGGGCAGGTGCTCTGAACAAGGTTAGTTTGGTTATAAATAGAATGAATAGAACATATTCAAAGTGTATAAAGAGAACTGGATACAGCATTGGAGTTCATTTGTATGAAGGTTGCTCAGTGGTGCATGAAGCAAAGAAAAGCTTGACTGAGTATAAAATGACCAGGATCTTCCACACGAGCGTTTCTTTTAACCCTCATTCACTTGAATGGAGGAAGGACAATAATTAGGCTTTTTGTGCATTTCACAACTTTTAGAACCTAATGATTTATAAAATGTATTCACTGACCGCTTACAGACGTCTCTTTCCTAATATGAGTCTATGGGGAAAAAAGTATTTTTGGGCCCAATGGCATCAGGTGAAGGATCTGGAAGTTGTAATTCCACATCTCTGCCACTATATGAAATTATTTTCAAAGGCCCAGCACTCTTTCCGATGGCGAAGGTCCTACAGGGTTTGCTCCTGAAATTGCGTAAATGCTTGTTTGCCAGAAATATGCTTTCCCGGGATGTTAAAGGATATTTTGTTATGCATGCCATCGGGTGGTTTGAGCAATGACTGTATTTGCAAAAGAAATTAAGTAATTTAAATATTTTTGCCTTCTTTTTGCCTACTGTATCTGCCTACTGGCAAACAGTAGGCTAAATTATGCTGTAGACAGAGCCAATGAAAAGAGAGATTACTTTGTTGGTATGTGCTGTGGGCTGAATGGATACTGGTGACTTCAGGTAAGGGGGTGTTCAAAGGAGCAGCTTGAGGAACAGAAGCTGGTGAACACCAGAGAGCGAGAAGAAGACCCAAAAAAACTATACTGTACCTGCGTATTATTATTAATTTAACACTCCAGTGATAAATGAAATGCTGCAGGCCCGCTGACGTGAACTTGTCCATTTGTGGTCAGTTTAAAAAAAGTTCCTGACCGTGTCATTAAAGTTTCTGTGTCTGTGCAGGTTTTGGGCAGAGAGGTCTATACATCCAACAACCAGCTGGGAGGGATTCAGATCATGCACAATAATGGAGTCACGCACACCACCGTGCCAGATGACTTTGAGGGCGTCTTCACCATCCTCCAGTGGCTCTCCTACATGCCAAAGGTCTCGCTGAACATGTGAAAGTTCATGTAGTGTGACTTTTAGGATTACAAAAGTATCTGACCAACCCTTCAGATCACCAACTATAGTTCCTCTTCTCCTTACAGAACAAACACTCCCCTGTGCCCATCATATCGTCTACAGATCCAGTAGACAGAGAGATTGAATATACTCCTACTAAAGCACCGTACAACCCCCGCTGGATGCTGGCTGGGAGACCTCACCCCAGTAAGTGTCAACATGTCATAAGCCATCTTTTTCAGTAATCAGCCTGGTTCATTTTCTTTTTTGTCTGCATTAATGTTATTAGCGGTGAGAGGTTCCTGGCAGAGTGGATTCTTCGACCACGGCTCTTTCATGGAGATAATGGAGTCTTGGGCTCAGACGGTGGTAGTGGGCAGGGCACGGTAAACCTGTTTGCACTCAGTGTACACGCTTGTTATGTTTTCTTTTGAAAAACCTTACACTTAAACTGTTTAATAACTTTGTTGAATAAAAACAGGTTAGGAGGAATTCCCCTGGGTGTCATCACCGTTGAAACACGCACAGTTGAGTTCACTGTCCCAGCTGATCCAGCAAACCTGGATTCAGAATCTAAAGTGAGTAAATGTCACCACATGTTTATGGTTTAAACGGGTTACGTCACAGTACTTCACCTCTACTCGTGTTTTTATGGGTTCGTGTCAGGTTCTGCAGCAGGCGGGCCAGGTGTGGTTTCCAGATTCAGCCTTTAAAACGGCTCAGGCCATTTGTGACTTCAACCGTGAACATCTTCCTCTCATGGTGTTTGCCAACTGGAGGGGCTTCTCTGCTGGAATGAAAGGTAACAGACGAATACTGAACTTTGCAGAGAGACTGCATTACATTGAGGAGTTTATTTTTATTAAATAAAAAAATCTGTTTATGCCCTTTTTGCTCCCAGATATGTATGACCAGATACTGAAGTTTGGCGCCTACATCGTGGACGCCCTGCGTGGTTTCCATCAGCCGGTGCTGGTGTACATCCCACCACATGCTGAGCTGAGAGGAGGATCATGGGTAGTGATAGACCCCACCATCAACCCACTGTGTATGGAGCTCTATGCAGACAGGGAGAGCAGGTACATAAAGCGATCATGCTTTTTTAAAATGGTTACTCTATTGAGTTCCCAACCTAAGCAACAGGTGTGTTTGTGAGAATAACCTGCCTTTTGTTGTCTCCCTGTTGTGCTGTCTGTGTGCAGAGGTGGTGTGCTGGAGGCTGAGGGTACAGTGGAGATCAAATACAGGAGGAAGGACCTACTGAAGACCATGAGAAGACTAGATTCAGCCTATGCTAGTCTGGTTGAGCAGCTTGGTAAAGGCCATTTCTTTCTCAACCCACTAAACCTCTTCAATTTATTTTCCTTTTAATTTCCATATGCCTGGGATGTTCACAACCTTACTGGCAAGTCTTTGAGTAGCTCAATCGCTCACTTCTGTTTCCATCAGCTTCCCCAGAGCTGTCGGACAAACAGTGCAGAGAGCTGGAGTCAAAGCTCAAAGCCAGGGAGGAGTTCCTGTTGCCCATCTACCACCAGGTGGCAGTGCAGTTTGTAGATCTCCATGACACCCCGGGGAGGATGCAGGAGAAGGGTGTCATCAATGTGAGTGTGTGCACTTCATGAACACTCTGATGTTTATGACTGGCAATACGTGTGTTACATTAGATGCAGAAAATAAACTTGTGTAAAACGACTTGTTGGTGGAGGCATACAACTGTGAGGCAGTAATTCTAGTTGAACTCTTGACAGGATATTTTGGATTGGAAGAACGTGCGGACCTTCTTCTACTGGCGTCTGCGTCGGCTCTTGTTGGAGCAGGTGGTGAAGCGTGAGATTCTGCAGGCCAACAAGGACCTCAGTGATGGACACATGCAGTCCATGCTTCGACGCTGGTTTGTTGAGACGGAAGGAACAGTCAAGGTATGTTATGACAGTCAGAGACAGCTGTAGAGCTAATGGGTTGAATTCTGCAAAAAGAAAGATATTAATCATAATTTGTTTTTATAGGCATGGGAGAATTTTTGCGTGGCATTATAGTTGTCAAGTAATGCTACTTTTTCCCCTTGTTAATTACTGTGAACATTAACACTTGCGTACTGTAACTCTTTAAAAGCTAATACAGCTATCCAGTCGCAGTTTTTGCCTGCGGCCCGCAAATATGTGGTTGCTTTTGTTTTTGAGTGCTTCATTGTTAAAACTGAACAAAGATCTAAAGGTGCTTCTGTCTGCCGTTGCAGGCCTACCTCTGGGATAATAACAAAGTAGTCGTTGAGTGGCTCGAGAAGCATTTATCCAAGGAGGATGGCATACGACCAGGCATCCGAGAGAACATCAAGTACCTGAAAAGGGAAAACACTTTGAAACACATCCGCAGGTATGCAGACACACTCTCACTCATTTTTGTGACCTATTGATGTGGGTTTATTTTCATTAGTCTTATATCATCTTATCAATGTGAAAAAGCCACACGTCACATCTTAATGAATCTTTAAATGATTTTAGCTGTGGAATGTTACATTACAGAGCTACATTGTGGACATAAATGGGTAAAGTACTAGCCAATAGAGTCACACTCACTCCATCAGTGTGGTCATGTGTAGGTCACATGGCCTGAAGAAGATAACACTACAGCTACACTGACCAGATAGCTTCATCTTAAATCATTTATGGCAAACAAACCAAAGAGACTCACATATTTTAGCTGTTGAGTCCATCCTATATTTGAGACCTCACTGAGATACATGCAAGTCATATTCTCTTACGCAGAAATTACAGAATATACTGCCGACCAGTTTCACTATCTCTGCATTTTCTGCACAATGAATTATTCCTCTTATGTTCCAGCCTGTTGCAGGCCAACCCTGACGTAGCCATGGACTGCATCATCCACATGAGCCAGAATATCACTCCGTCCCAGAGGGCCAAGCTCTCACATCTGCTTGCAACTATGGACAGCACCAGCACCAGTTAATCTGCGGAGCTTCCACAGGTTATATTACTAAGAAGAACAAAAAACGATGCTCTAGTTGATTGTGCTGTATTGGTAAAGAGGTAGACAATTTGCATTTCTTTGGGGGTATATTTAGGGTACAAAGTGACTTATTCCTCAGCGATCACATTACCACTACAGTGCTCTGTCTGTCGTAAACATTGCTGTTGAATGGCGTCTTTGCATGGACGCCATGATCCGCTTCTCTCTTGACTGACAGGCAGACAAAGAGTTTGTCTTTTACATTTGTGAGGTCAGTCATTTCAGCTGCTCGGTCCAGAAACTTTCTAGTTCACAAACTATGACTGTAACGCACATTTCATTGGGCTGTATTTGCACATAGTAGTGTGACAGTGTAACTAGGTCTGTTCAGTCTATTGAGGCCAGAGTTGCACAAGCTTCATGAAGTGGGAGACTCCATATTTAGGCGATGGTTGTCATATTCAGTTAAATGTATTAAACAGAGAGTTGTTGTTAAACTTTGAATGTAGCTCGGACGTCTGATCAATTCTTTGATGGATTCTCAAGTAAAACTAACAAAAAAAAAGTATTTTTGCATTGACTAAAGATAAAATGTTTACCAGTACTGTAATGCAGAAATGCAAATTAAGAACGGATTAAGATTTTTTTTTTCTAAAAATTGTATTATGGACTCAGCCGTCCATCTTTTCATTGTCCCTTTCAGCCTGTTTGCGTGTATCTATGCTGTAGTGTTTTGTGTTCTAAGACAGTGTAATGAATGATAGGAGATACTGCGACACTTTATGTGATACTTCTGAGCTTTTCTTTAATTTTTGTTGGTATATCTCTGATATAATGCAGTAATTCTTAAGACTCAGGTTGGACAATAATCGCCAAAGTGGTTGCCCGAGTGATGGCCTAATTTGCTTCTCCTTTGATCAAAACAGTGGCATTTAATTTAAATGTATATAAACTCTGTCCCGTGTCTTGTATTCTACTGAAGACTGTTTGTTAATAAATGTCAGATATATTTTTGGCAAAACAATCTTTTATTCACCCATTTGATTTTTATTATGATCAAATTAATGAACATAATATACATCTGACTTTGAGGCATGTTAATCACATTGTGTAAAACAATAATGTGTAAAATCTGGATTATTCAAAGTGTTGGCACACATTTTGGAATGAAGTGGGTAAATACAGTCGAAAGAAAGCTTTTCTGTGGCGATAGCAATTTCAAACATTCAAATATATACAGCAAAAGATTGACAGAGTCATCACCTTCTCCAGCTGCCTTTTCATAAATATAAATAAAACATCACAGCAACAATGTCTAGCACAATACAACAGACAAGAGGCAGGGAGCTACAGTATGGTAGGGCCTTTAAACGCAGAGTGAACAGTAGAAAAACTGGCGGATGCTAACTTACACGTACATCTCCATATAGTCTCTGTACTCATACAGGTTTTGAGTCTTCGCTCGGCAAAGCTAGATATTAAGAGTCTGACACACATTTTACACATCAGCAGTTTTAGTTCTTAAGGAGCAATTTTCTTGTGGACCGCAAGTGAAATGATGTTCAAACATCCTTCTCCAAGTAGTTCCCAGCTGACTGTAGAAGATCTGTGTGATTTGTACGTTTCGAAGCACAAAAGAAACCAGAAGTCAGACTTTGACCTCAGTTTTCTTTAGTTGGCGTCCACAGATATTCACAGACAGCTGAAGGAATCAGGTTGAATCTGCAGGAGACAGTTCAGCTGCTTTATATCAGGGCGATGGGCTTGCTGTTAGCCGGCGCGCCCATGTACTGAGAAGACAGGTGGTCCTGGGAGGTGTAGGAAGTGTAGAGGCCCGTCACTTGCACATCTGACATCTGCAGGTTTGCTCCAGTGGAGACAGGAGTGAGGTTGGCTGTTCCCAAGTCACAGTCTGATAGTCGGAGGGGTGAGTTACTGAAGGTACCCAAAGCATCCAGGTTAAAGCTGTCGTCCTTCATTTCTTCCCACAGATTACCTGGGCAGATCAATAGAGAGGTTGGTGTACTGATGGAACAACACTTTGATTATATGGCAAACAAAAAACACGTAAAAAAAATAGATTTACCTTGAAGGGCAAAGTCCATGATGCTAGGGTCCAGCGCATCCACCTCTGTGTGTGTATCCCCGTGCACACTGTAGAAATCGTCCGGCGGCTTGCTGGGGTGCTGGGTGAGTGGACTGTGGGACAGGTCAGGAACCGTGTGGAGCGGAGGTGTCTGCGCCGGGGCAGGGGACATGGGGGACAGGCGGGCCTGAGCGTGGAGCTGGGCCTGAAGCTGGTGGTGGTGGTGGTGGTGCATGGGTAAACAGGGCAGGGACAGCGTGACTATCGGCTGAGGCTGCATCTGGGCTGAGACGGGCAGCGTGAGGCCAGTGGGACAGCTGGGCAGACGGGTCATGCCGGGCTCTAAAGCCTTACGTCTGCAGTTCTCCGGGCGGTCTGTGATCAGTTTGTCCAACTCATCTGCAGGAAAAACAAAAATGTTCAGACTAAGTACAAACGTGATGTCAGATTTGGAAGACTTGTTCTCTTTTTTTAAGAGTAGTTAGAAATGAATTACTAACCAGGGTTGGCCATGCTGCGGCGGATGGCTGGGAGGTCCTTGCGTTTCCACTTCTGCATCTCTTCCTCCATCTTGTCAATTTTGGCAGGGTTCAGCGCCCACAGACAGCCCTTACGGGATGAGCTGCTCGTCTTGTTCTCCACTTTCTCAAAGCATTTGTTTAAGGACAGGTTGTGTCTGACTGAGTTCTTCCATCCATCGGGTGCGGTCTGCAAGGAGAGAAGTGGTGTGTAATGAGTCACACTCTTTATCTACATACACCTTCTCTTTTAGTCCTTCTCTGTCATGTTTATAGAGTATCATACCTTGAAATAAGGGAAGTGTTCCTTCATAAAGCTATAGATCTCACTGACGGGGAGGCTGCCAGTTTTGCTGTTCTTCAGAGCCATGGCAATCAAACAGCTGAAAAAAAAATCCCCAAAATAAATCTTTATTTGAGAGTAATTCAAAGCAGAGAAGGAGAAACACACTAAAGATAATTCAGATTCATATTTTATCTACATAAGTGAGGTCTGACCTGTAGGAATAGATTGGTTTGGGAAAAGACTTGGGCTGCAGCTCCTGGTCTTGTGGAGCCAGACGAGGTTGTGTGAAAAGACTTTGGTTGTTGAAAGAGACATTGCTATACAGCCCACCAGTAGAACACTATAAGAAAACAAAGAGAAAATAATAAGGAACCAATTTACAAAAATAAGAGCACAGTACTTTACTAGCTGAGCGTTTGGTACCTGTTGTCCAGTTTGGGTGAGAGAGTACACCTGCTGGGGTGTAGTCTGGTAGACTGAGGTAGGGCACTGGTATCCTGGAGAGGGCATCCCATTCATGGAGAATGGAGACATCTGTGAAGCAGATCAAATTTGTCAGTCAACCCTATAAAACACAACACGTACACTTTTTTTCTTCACATTGCTGATAAAACTCACACTTCCGCTGTGGGTGTTGATGATGCTGATTCCCAGAGGGCTGTGCTGCATGTTGCTCTGGAGGTGGAGCATAGAGCCTTGACCTGCTGTCATCGCAGACATGTTACTCAGCTGAGCTGTGAGGAGGAGCAGCCAGATTACCGTTAGATTCACTGAAAACTTCATCAGATCTTTTTTCTTTTTTCTTCGAGTGCTTTCTATTCATCCAGAGAGTTATGGTGTGATATCTTGGGTTTGAAAATCTTGGCTGTACAGTAGAGTAGAATGAGCCTAATACCCAAAAAATACCAGGCATAAGAAGCTTACCATTTACAGACTTTAACATTGCTTTCTTCACAGAGAGAGAGTTGAAAGTGGTTCACCATTTAGTTCAGTATCGGGTCTTTGGATTGTCTTGTAAGAAACGCTTGCATTGTGTTATGCCTTCTTTTTTAAATCTGTTGAGCACAATATTAAGGTGAGCTAAAGCTCATAGCTCAATCTCCACACCAAAAACGATCCAAATTGATTAATCTCTGAGGTTAACTGTGCTATGTTTTAGTGAAGAACAGTTCCCAATGACAAAAACATCAATATTGTATCGGCCATTGGTCATTATCTTTTGCTTATCTTTTGCTGTAAAACTGTTTTTATCTGCAGAGGCCGGAAATCCAGAAGAATCCAGGCAGTGCTGATTTATCCAATCAGAGAGATGATGCGGTTTTTGAATGTTGCACTGTCCCCTCCTTGTCCTCTCACCTGTCTGTTGCTCCAACAAGCTGCCCTGGGAGGGCCCGTTACTGTGGCCTCGGCTATCAGCCATCTGCTGTAGCCGGGGCACATCCACAGAGGTGAGCCATGACAGAGACTGCAGGTCCCCAGGGAGGTCCTCCTCCCTCAGCTGGGAGGGGTCCGTGGTCAGAAGCCTTCAAGAGAGGAGGAGGAGGAGGGGGAGAGGGAGGTTAACACGGCTGTCAGCTCAGACACACACGGACCACAAGTGGAATTTAAATCTAAACACTTGATAGAACATTTCGTCCTTCAAAGTCAAAACCACTGTAATGAGTCTGAATGTGGGCAAACAGATGAAAGCTGCTCAGTGAAGCCGCGTATTAGCCATGCCATCCAGGATTTACCATAAGTAGATTAACTACAAGTGTTATTTAGCAGTGACAGTTTTAATCAACAATGAGGGAGTTAAACAAGCTTTCCATTCACAGTAAATCGTCTGTTGAGATTGTTTTTCTTCTTCTAGGTGTGACACTTTGTTTTTCCCATAGTTAATACTCGTCTGCTTTATTGATCACCATTAACACATTTTTAAAAAAATAGAATAAATGCAAAATAACAATTTAATCTTTTGTAGTATTTTATTTTTCACCTAAGAATATTTTTTAAAACCCATAATTTTATGAACGCTGTGCTATAAATTGGATTTAATGTAGAATTTCTGTTTAACCAGTGCACTGCCAGTACCAATCAGCTTTCAGTCATTACATCTTTTATGTGGCGAGTCTCAAAGAGAAAGAAAAGAAAAGAAAACAGAGGAATCCTCTTGAATCCTCTCCAGTCTCCTCTGCACACACACACACACTTACTCTGCGAGGGTTTAGTAATTGGGCTCGCTATGACAACACATGCTATTCAGTTAGGGTCTGTGGACGGTGTAGGAGCTCACCCCCCCCCCCCCATACACACACAAACCACATCTCCTAATAAAAAATCAACCCTGTGTCAGGTGACCACAGTCTCGCCTTTCACCATTGGCTGAATCATAAGTAAACAACGCATGAGATCGTTTGAAACATGGGACAGCAGCACATGTTGCCTGCAACAGTTGGCCTTGTCTATTGAAAAATGATCACCTATTGTGTGCCAAACGACAAATCTGCCCAGTGGCACGTGGCTCTATTGTCTTCCCCAGACCCTTCCTTGATTGTCTCTGTCGTTTCTTTTCTTTACACAGCCCTTGCATTAATCTGTTGGAATGACAGCCCTCACATAAGAGGGACAAATAGGATGCCATCTGCTTCCCTGTCCCTTTCCAGCCTCTATCCTCACCCCAACCCCCCACCATCACCCCCCTCCCGGGCCAGAGGGGGGGGGGGGGGGTGCAAATGTAGTTTGAGGTCAGGGCTCTGTGTCTGCCATCTGAATAAGTGACATCATTGCAGCCAGACATCAGCAGCACACGTCCTGGAACACCTTGCATGCGCCAGTAAATGATTTAGAGTGATCATCCTTTCTGCAGCAGATTGCATTGTGAAGTTTAACACCCTGCGTGTTAGTGTGGCAATATCTCAGCTGGAGCTGTGAAGTTTAGTGTACCTCTTGTGAGACTGACTCTCATTCTTTTTCTTTTTCTCCACCTTGCTGCCGGGAGTTTTCTTTCACTTCTGACAAACTGTAGAAAATAACATTGAAGCATAATAATTGGAGAGTCTTTGACTGATTGAATGTTGAAGCGACTTTTTTCCCCTTTTGTTTAGAATTTTAACAAAAACTCAAAGTACAATAACTATTTACAATATTTGATATGGCTGTTCTTTCACTCTTTGTTTCACAAATCTATACTGTAGGTTGCAATTTGCCATAAAAAATTCCCAATACAATAGAAACAAATAGATGTTACATGGGGGGTATTCCCACCTCCCCTCCTCATACCAGCAGCATTGAAATTGCTCACTGATGCAGAACATGTTGAGCTGGTGTCTCCATGTATCCTCCGAGCCTTCCCAGAGGTTTAACAACACTAAATATTGCACCTCCTCCTCTTCCCTCCCTCCCTCCCTGCCTCCCTCCTTTTCTAATTGGGAGCCACTTGTGCATACTGGTGACCCAGAGCGCCCGTCTCCCCCCAAGCCGGCAGGCCAAGAGGCTCAGGCTCTCCGTGTGCCGACAGCGGGAGTGTAAACAGAGCTGATGGTTTCTGACAGATCCATTCAGACTGAAAATCATTTATTCTTCAGGATTTTTTCTCTCTCTGTCCTTTTTCATGAAACCCCCCATGCACAAAAAGAGCTGTCCATCTACCTTTTTTAAACATAGTGGGGTTAGACAGCTTGTACCATGACCATTTGGGAAACACCTTAGAGGGTTTCGTTTAATAAAAAATATGCTTTTTATCTATTGAGGCATCACATATTTGATCCTGAGTGTTTTCGACAATATGACAATAAAATAATTAGTTGTTTAGCGCTAGAAGCCCTAATATAACTGAACATGTTTTAAATCACAAGTCTTACCTGTAGTCCTGTGGAGACGGATGATGCCCAGCATTCTCAATTATTCCTGACATCCTGGATGTAATTCCACCTTCTATCATTTCCTGGGCTATGTGGTACCACTGCAATAAAATAAATGAAATGAACACACTTTAGGTCATCTCCCCAGTGAGTCTTCAAACTGAGCTAAACAAGCTATGTAGAAGAAATGATCACAATACTAATATTTATATTCAAATTGTTGATAAACATGATGAAACAGCATGTTCATTTTCCAAAATGTGAAAAATAGTACACAAAAAGCAAACATTTTAAACTCAAATGTAAGTCTCAATGAACATTAAACACAAGAATAGATATATTCAAAAACAATCAGTGTGCCTTTGTTGTAGCTGAAGCCCATTTTACAGTTTGAATGTTTTTTGATCCCCTAATTGAATTTCATAAAAATACATAAAATAATATAGCTTGTATTGAATAAGCATTCAGTCTAAATGTGTACACAACAGTTTGGTCACATTAGCTTAGGTTTGAATGTAATTTAGCCTACAGAGAAATTATTCTGTAAGTATAAATCCTTAATCTTTAAAATGCCAATATTTTCATAAAAACAACAACAATCTTACAAAGACTATGATGCGGAAAGAGAGAAATAATAATAAAGAATCACCTGTTTTGGATGATATTGAAGAATGTTTGAACCGGTCGCGAGCCCCCGTACTGTATTTCGCTGTGTTGCACTTGATTCTCCAAAAACCGTTTTTAAATTTCCCTCTCTGGAGCTGTCCAGCGCTCAGACATGCGCAGTGGAGACTTCAACAGTGCTCCCAGTTGCTCGGGGGGCAGGAGGATCCCATGAGTTTGACAGCTGCAGTCAATGCACAGCCTGTCAACAGTAGCGACAACATCCACACCTCCCACAGCGCAGTGCAGAAGTAGAGATGTTGAGATTTTATTTTTCTCTCAGTTCTGGGGTGACTTTGTATCAAGGTGCGATCGTGGTGCGCTCCTCCAACAAGTGTGCTGCTGCATTCAAAGGCAGGTCGTACTCCATCCAGACTTTGTAGTCCTTTTATTATAAGATGATTAAAGAGATGATATTATAAAAGGAGGCTCCCTGTCTGTCTTACACCGTCACGTGTATCTCCAGTGGCACAACTTAATAAAACACAAAATACACGCGCTCAGGCCTAAATCCTGTTGATGCTATTTAGACACGGAAGTACGGGAAAAAAGTATTAAAAAAAAGTTGAACCAGATGAAGCGCAATAAAAGCAACAAAAGCACCTGTGTTAAAAGTAAGAATCAACAATAAGTATCCGTTTTGCTCCACTATATCCTCCTGTCAGGTTATTCCCAGTAAGCTCCCTCGATCAGGTCTAAAACGGTGTGAGTCGCTACTTGTGGTGGCATCTGTGTATGTGAGTGTGAACTTTTTTTTTTTTTTTTTTTTTTTTTTTTCAATAGAAGTGCTTGTAGATAATTTGCTTCCCGCCGCTGTGGCCGCGTCCTGCTCCTCTCAGCAGTGGGAAAACGAGCCGGGGAGGCGCGTATAGGGAGGGCAGGGGCCGGGTGGGCTGCAGCGGGAGGCGGCAAAGGCACAACACTCGTGTGTGTTCGTGTGTGTGTGTGTGTGTGTCGCGTTTCAGTACAAGTAGACCAATCCAGAAAATACGAAATTACTCTTCCTCCACCTCCTCACTGAAGATGAAGTGTAAGAAAAACATTTCACTGAGTTGCATGCACAATGGAAAATAACTTGTTTTACACAAAGCATCTCTGGTATTGGTGACAGTTTTAAGAGAATAATTGACCCCCCCCC